TAGTAGTTGTAAAAAGACCTTTGTCCGTCTGTCAGATCTAACACAACATCAAAGAACTCATACCGGAGAGAGACCTTACCAATGTACGACTTGTGAAAAAGCCTTTAAATTTCGGTCAAACTTTGCTAAACATCAGAAAACTCATTCTATAGGGAGGCCCTTTGCATGTAATGAATGTGGAAAGACCTTTCGCCTTAATGGGGATCTTAATCAACATAAAAAAATTCATACTGGAGAGAAACCCTATGAATGTGGTGAATGTGGAAAGCGTTTTAACAATAATTCCAATCTTAATAAACACAAGAAAATCCATACAGGAAAGAAACATTTTGTATGTAATCAATGTGGAAAAGCTTTTAACTTAAACTCAAAGCTTTCTCGACATCAGATAACTCACAATAAAAAGGAGAACTCCTTTAAAAGCATCTCAAATCTTAATAAACATCAGAAAACTCATGCTGGAGAGAAGCCCTTTTCATGTAATGCATGTAAGAAAGCCTTTGCCCAGCGCATGGATCTTGCTCGCCACCAACAAATCCATACTGGAAGAAAACCTTTTATTTGTAGTAATTGTAAAAAAACCTTTGTCCGTCTGTCAGATCTAACACAACATCAAGGAACTCATACAGGAGAGAGACCTTACCAATGTGCGACTTGTGGAAAAACCTTTAAAAATCGGTCAAACTTTACTAAACATCAGACTCTTTCTGTAGGGAGGTCCTTTACATGTAATGAATGTGGAGAGACCTTTTGCCTTAACTGGAAACTTAATCAACATAAAAAAATTCATACTGGAGAGAAATCCTATGAATGTGGTGAATGTGGAAAGTGTTTTAACAATAATTCAAATCTTAATAAACACAAGAAAATCCATACAGGAGAGAAACACTTTGTATGTAATCAATGTGGAAAAGCTTTTAGCTCAAACTCAAAGCTTTCTCGACATCAGATAACTCACAATAAAAAGAAACCCTAAAAAAAGAGGAAGATGAAGAAAGATATTTAGAGATGACTTACCCTTTGCTAAAAACTTAAGAGATCAATGTAGAAAGATTCTTAGTCGAAGCCTAATTCTTCACGGATTCATGCTGTATGGAATATCTTGGAAATACAAATATGTAAATGTTGATGAAATGGAGATGTGATCAGAAATGTACTTTTTTTAATTGCACTGACTTGAGTCTTTGGCCAGGCGTGGTGGCTCACACCTGTAATCCCAGCACTTTGGGAGGCCGAGGCAAGTGGATCATGAGGTCAGGAGTTTGAGACCAGCCTGGCCAACATAGTGAAACCCCATCTCTACTAAACATACAAAAAATAATAATAATAATAATAATAACAATTAGCAGGGCATGGTGGTGCACACCTGTAATCCCAGCTACTTGGCAGGCTGAGGCAGGAGAATCACTTGAACCCAGGAGGCAGAAGTTGCAGTGAGCTGAGATCATGCCATTGCACACCAGCCTGGGCGACAGGGTGAGACTCCGAATTAAAAAAAAAAAGAATTGTTCAATGTGTTCAACTAAATTTGAAATTGGACAAGGCAGTTCCTGTGGTAAGCAGTGATAAGCTAAGAGGCAGCTAGAAGGCTGCAGTGAACATTCATTTTGCTGTTTGTCCATAATCTACTTTCACTGAATTAAATAGAGGTAGCTATCTAAAGATGCCAACTTTTGTAGGTTAGATGATACAACCCTAATTTAAGCATAAGTAAGGAAAACAAAAGCCATCTCTTCTGAATGAATTAGAAGTTTTGGAGAACTTTGCTTGTAGACAGGGGAAAGCAAAAAGCTGATCATGAATCTGAACTAAAGGGCAAAGAGTTGGAAGGGGTGACATGAGAAATCCAAAGGTCTTGGGTCTGTGGATAAGATGGTTTCTGCTGCCTTGTCTAAATGGCTGGGTGCGGTGGCTCACACCTGTAATCCTAGCACTTGGGGAGGCTGAGGTGGGTGGATCACTTGAGTTCAGGAGTTTGAGCCCAGCCTGGCCAACATGATGAAACCCTGTCTGTACTAAAAATACAAAAATTAGCATGGCATGGTGGCGTGCGCCTGTAATCCCAGCTACTAGGGAGGCTGAGGCATGAGAATCACTTGCAGTGAGCCGAGATCATGCCACTGCACTCCAGCCTGGGTGACAGAGACTCCGTCTCAAAAAAAAAAAAAAAAAAAAAAAAAAATCAAAAAATAAATGGATATAACTGAGACACCCAGCTTCCCTAAATAGTTTGCACCACTCTTATGTTTCTAAAGAATCAAGAAAAAATGGAAAAATTGCAACAATTCTAGGCCTTAGATTCAGAATATGGAGAACCTATTACTGGGAATATTATGTTATTTGAAATTGATTTCTTGTTGTATGTCTTAAAAGCTAAGCTTTCTAGTACATGCAAACACTAGCATGTAATATTGAATACATTTGAGCCCTGTATCAGAAGTCGAATTACACTTTCCCGAATTTGTTCTCATACACGCTGGTGGCAACTTGCCTGTGTTTAGCCAAGTGGGATGGGCATAGTTAGGATTGGCCTTAATCTATAGACACTATTCAGTTTCTTCATGCTCATCTTTCTTTGCTTTCTCAGATATGACAAGAGCTGCCGGAGCTCAATTGTTGTATAATCCCCAGGTGTGCCTCCTTTTCATCTACCTGATTACTTGTATGTTGAGGTATCAGTGTGTTTGTCTCTAAGGAAAGGTGTATGTATACATAGCTCACTTTTTACAAATAACAGACACATTAGTTTTATAGATCGCAAGTTATATATAAGCCAAAAATGCAACTGAAATAATTTAGCTGCATACAAAGAAAATATTGTTATGAGTATTATAAAAATGGGAATGGCTATTGGGATAAAGACAAATTATGCACAGGACCTGTCATCCCTAATTTTGGTGCTTAAAACCTTCGGTCAAAACAAAACAAAACAAAACAAAAAACCTTGGATTAAAGTTAAACAGGAACCATTTCATATGTTTCAAATATATAAAGACTTTCCAACACGGCTCCTATCTGGGTCAAACTGCTAACTAAAGTCTATAGTGAGAAGAGAAAAGATTTCTAGGACACACCAGGACAACTTGTTCTGAAAAGCCTGGTATCCCAAATTTGCCATCACCAAACTCAAAAATTTAATTTTCTCTTGACGTCTAACACTTTCTTCTTTGTATCTCTGCTGTATTTCTTAGGAACTATCACTAATTACTAACCGTAATGTCCCCAGTTGTGTAAAAAAGATAAAAGAACAGCCATCATGTAAACGTTAGGTTAAAAGAATAGCCATCAAGTAGACTTTAGGCCATTCATAACATTCTCATTGGAAAGTTTCAGCAGAAAGTTTTATATTTTCATTGGGGTTTTAATATTAAAATCACATGACAGTTCTATTGTTTAAGCAAAATTAACAGATTGGAGAGAGAAGTTAAATACTTCAATTTAGGCTTAAAATGTCATCTGCACACTAATGTAAATGATGCACCTTTTGCATTTAATAATTAATTCCTTATATTTTTTTTCATTCTCACATATTTGAGGAGATACAAATCTAAAAGAGCGTTTGTGGATTGAGTATCTCTCCCTAAAGATATGTTGAAGTTTTAACGCCGGTGCTCATGAATGTGACCCTATTTAAAAATAGGATCATTTTGAAGATGTAATCAAGATCAAATACCAGATTAGGGTGGTCCTAAGTTCAATCACTGTCTTCATAAGAGGGGACACAAGATAATGGCTGTTGAATGAATGCTTTAACTCTTTTAAAGATTAAATTCTCTCTTAACTTCCATAGAATGCAAAATTGGAGTCAGCACAGAATATGATCCATGTACCTCATATAAACAATGTTAGGTATCTGCATCAAATCACTGGCTATCTCTTATCCCCCACCTTTTGACCTAAAACATATCTAGTCTGGATAACTTTTAAATTATCATGGGCTACAAGAGTATTTCCTCCATTGTCAGGGAACCAATACAAGGATTCTGCCACTAAGTCTGTGGCATTCTGGGACTAAAACTATAGGATTGGTGTGTGTTTCCACTGGCAGAAGCAAACCCTCTGGGAGTTGGATTCAGGCCCAGACTCATCTATCTCCCGACCTTCATAAGTCTCCACTCTGTTTATGGGCCACTGTAGTGTTTGGGAATGGCAAGAATTCATATAATCAAGGCCAATATCCAAATCCCCATAGAAGTCTGGGTATGTCCTCCCTCATGCATGGCCATGGTGGTAAGTGACCACAGATACCCCTGGGAAGGCCTGGAGGAAGAGCTGCACAATGCTTCTATGGCTACACTGCAGGAACCTTCTTAAAAGGTCTTCCTGTAGCCACTTTGGGTCTAGGAATTGGCTTAAGTCTCAAAGTTGAGTAAGGTGCTATGAATTCCCCATATAATCCCTTAAGTCATATTTCTGCCCAGGAGACTCAAATTGTTCACCTATATGTCAAGCTGCTCCTTCAAAGGAGGCCCATGTAATTTCATTATAGGGTCTCCATGATGCACTAGCTGTACTGCCAGGCCAAAACCTGATTACCACTCTTTCCTAAGGCATGTTACAATAGTGTCTGCTTTGTCTCCAAAGGTGAGGTGCTGCTGCATGGCCTCTTCCACTCCCCAGAATCTCATTTTCATTTTGAGGATCTCTTTCCTGGGGCCATTTCTGGTACCAGTTACAGAATCAGTCCCATTAAGAAATAGCTCATTTGAAAGGAGTGAAAGAAAATTGAAGAGACTCTCTACAAAAGTGTGGGAAGAGTTGCGGGAAACTAACAAGGGATTTACCATCCTTAGCCCTGAAGGGAAAGCAGGAGTGTGGTGCCTTTGAAATGTGTCACTTTTGGCTTAGCTGATTCTATGTTCCCTAGAACTCCCTTCCCTGTATGTTTCCAGTGAGGGTCACAGAGGACATTTTGGTGTGAGATCTGGAGGGTGGTGGCAGAGGAGAAATCATTTTGTTTTTAGGCTTAGAAAGGCTTCTGCCCCCAACACGTTTCTTACCTGCTGGTTCTTGGTGGCGTGGCTCAGTAGACAAGCCTGTGGCTGCTCTCTTTTCCCCAGTATCTCCTCCAGGTCTTCCAGCTCCTGGGCTATGTGTGTGCTTAGCAACACCACAAATGGCACCAACCTCTGTAGGACACCCACATCGTTTAGGTAGAAGACAGTAAAAACTGCCACAGCTTTGTCTGGGGCTTCCAGCTTGTCTTTGTTCTCTCTCTTAGTGTTCACTTTCCCTACTTGCTTGGCCTGCAGAATTAAAGTGCCAGCATCAGCCATGAAGACAGTCACATAACAGGCTTCCCATAATAGCCTGGAGTCAAATCTTGATAACAATTTTGTCATCTATAGACCATACATATGGCTCTGCTGCTCTGATTGAACTCTAAATGATGCAGGAAGGAAATGACTTTTGGGATCTGGGAATAGCTCTAGCTGCAGAAGAAGAGAGCCACAAATAAGGTCTCAATCAGACACTTGATGGCAAGAGACCTCAGTTGATGCAGTTCATAGAGGTCTGCCCCAAGCATGAGGAGTGGTTCTGGAGGGACAGAGTATCCAGGAGCATCAGGTTTCTGAAGAATAATACTTGGTCTAGACATAATGGAACAATGTGTTTCAGGATATGCAAAGAAAGTTAGCTGGGGATTTCTAACCAGTCATACTGATCTTCAAATATACAAAAAGTCCATAGGCAAACTGTGAACATATAATAATTCAAGACTGATATGTCTATCTTAAAGAATAAGTTCTCATTTTAAATTAGATTCCAGGTGAACAAGGAGAGAAGACGGAAGAAGAGATTACCAACTAATTTCATTATTGACTGACAGTAAGAAACTAATATACTATCTTCCCCTTATTCCCTGCAAATAACAGGGATATTAAGGCACTATATAAAGATATCAGTATATTAGTAACTGACAGAACAAAAATACAAATGCTCCGCAACACTGTAGTGAAAGACAAATGGGAAGATAAAATAATCTGGCAAAACAAACTAAATGTGTCATATCAGTGATACCGATTTATAACTCTCCCATTCTCTCATATAATCTTATCCCCCATTTCATTGAAAAATAGAAACAATTCTAAAATAAATTCACAACTTTTACATCAACCCATATGTGTGAGCCGGCATGGCACGACCATTGCCTATTCTCTTAAAAAGGCTACCCTTCCCCCTTACAAACAGATTCCAACCTATCTCACCTATGCAGAACATTACTCCAACATCTCCCCCTCTCTATGGAAGATCTCCCATAAGTGTATAAACATGCATTTATCTCTAGCTATAGAAAGAAGCCTCCTTTGACTATACTTTACTCTCGAGCTACAGTGCTATTTCTCTTGCCTTTAGTATGACTCCTTGAAAAGGCTGTTTGTACTAACTCTTTTCAGCGCATCTCCTCTCACCTTTCTTGAAACCACTCCATGCTTAGTGGTGGTTGCCTGTGGTAGCTAGCCTGTGACATGGCTCCAGAGGTCTCTACCTCCTGGTACTCATGCTCCCGTGTGATCCCCTTCGGCACTGTATCAAGGTTGGTCTGTGTGACTAATTAAATACAGTGAAAGTGATAGTTTTCCAAAGCTAGGTTATAAGGGAAACTGGCTTTGGATCACTCACTCTGAGGAATGAATGCCGGCTGCCACGTTGTGAGAAACTCAAGAAACCCTACGGAGAGGCCGATGTGATGAAGAACTGAGGTCTCCTGCTAACAACTGTGGGAGACAGCCATGGTGGAAGTGGATCCTTCAGCCCCGTCAAGTCTTTACACAACTGCATCCCTGGTCAACTTCTTGACAGCAACCTCAAAGGCCTTGCGCCTCAACCACCTAGCCAAGTTACTCTACAATTCCTAAACCACAAAAACAATGAGATAGTAAATGTTTATTGTTTTAAGTTGCTAATTTTGGGGATAATTTGTTACAAAACAATAAATAATACATTAACCTGTTATGGGTTGAATTGTCTCCCCAAAATGTGTGTTGAAGTCCTACCCCTGAGTACCTCAGAATGTAACCTTATTTGGAAATAGGATTGTTGCAGATGTAATTATTGAAGATGCAGTCATACTGGAGTAGGGCAGGCCCTTAATCCCATGACTAGTATCCTTACAAAAAGGGGAAATTTGGACACAAATAGGCACACTTAGAACACCACGTGAAGTTATGCTGCCACAAGCTACAGAATTATCAGAAGCCAGGGGAGAGGCCTGGAACAGATCCTTCAGAAGAGAGTACAGCCCTGCCAACACCACCCCAACCTGACTTCTGGCCTCCAGAACTATGAGATAGATCTGTTGTTCTAGAACATCTAGTCTGAGGTACTGTGTTAGGGCAGCCCTAGGAGATGAATACACTCTATATCATGTCTTTGTTCTTTGGCTACTTTTAAGATATTCTTTATTAAACTAGTTTTGATTTATGTCTTGAAATTTGGTGTCTGGTTGTGCTCTTCATTTTTATCCTGCTTGGGGTTCATTAAACTTCTTGGACTTCTGAATTTACATTTTTCATAAGATTTGAAAAGATTGTTCCAACATTAAGGGATAAATTTAGGTAAATTTGGCACAAAAATTAGGTATTTTTGTTTTTCTTTACTCCATTAGTGTCAAAGTGAAAGGTAACATAATTCCTTTCACAATAGCAACCAAATCTTTGAAGTGACTATGAATACATTTTACAAGAGCAAGATCAGTATATGCACACACATACATTTAAACATATGTATATACTTATATATATAAACATATGTATATGTGTGTACACATACATTTATCTGTCCTGAAGGACATAAAAACTGAATAAACTGATAAGTCATGTTCATATTGGGTTCTCTGAAGGGCCCCAAATAAATAGCACAATTTCCACCCCCATCTAAACAACAAAAAGTTAAGTAGTAGACAGGGGACAGGATGAAACTTTTATTACTGATCAAATTGAGTTGGAGAATGCAACTTACTGTGACCATTCAGCTAATGGGCCAATTAGCTGAATGACAGAATTAGACCAATTTACCAATCACAGGCAATACCTGTGACAAGAAATTGTGCTTGCAGAACAGCCCAAAATGAACAGGGAGTTCCGCTGAGCAAACCCAGTTACCCATCACTGTCTTAGCAATTAGATAAGCCCACTTCATCTTCCCTGGGGCAGAATGCATAATGTGGCAGAGAGGCTAGGAATGGGTATAGGGAAAACCCCACTCACGGAAATCAGGACTTAAAAGGTAAACATTTCCCAATAACCCCATAAAAGTGGCAATCCTACCTCATCACATATATCCATACAATGTAATCCTAATCAGCATCCCAGAGGCCTTTTGTTCTCAGAATTTGATCAGTGACTTCTAAAGAATACCTCTAATGAACATGTTGATTAGGAAATCCAAGAGATTTTTGAAAACATACTAATTGACATAATCAAACCACTGCTAGATGGGGTTGAGTGGATATTAGAGAATACTAAAACCAGAGAAATAAACACTTTTTGGATTCAACCATCACCCAAATTCTCTTTGTTGTTCAAGAATACTTATTTTTCCATGTTTTTCCTACTGCAATTGCTGTTTTCTTGACTTGGCTGAAAGCTTCAGGATAACGAACTAGTTATCCTGTGCCTATATTCCATTAGAAAGGTCTTAGGAAGGGCTTTCATTGGCTCAGCTTTACCAAAGGCTCACCTGGGGTATAATTACCATGGGTGCATAGAGTACCATGGTTAGTGCTCCTGAGTTGTCACCTTTGCAGATAAAGGTATATAGTCTGCTACTAGAAGTCTATGGAGTTAGCAGACAACAAAAAGTCTGCCAAATCTGAAAATACACCATAAATTGAGAAACTGCAAGTTACTCAACTATCAAACAATGGTATTGATTTGAAATGAAGGTCAGATCCTCACACCTCATAACATACACTATCAAGTAACACTGTGGGGAGCAACCAAGTAACAATTTAACTTAAATAATGTTTGTTTCATTATTTTAAAAGGGAGGCACATTTGGCATAACCTTTGAATTGCTGTTGAATATTTTCATAGTTCACAAAGAATAATACATTTATTAAACAAAGTATTTCTTTCCTACATGATTTCTCTGATGTTATAGTGAGGATGGACTTATGGCAGAAAATTTTTCCATACTCATTATAAGATTTTACTCCTCTATACATACTCACAGTTTCGCATTGTGTAAGTTATTTGATTTGTTGCTTTGTTGGAATTTATTACTTTGCTGGAACTTATTCCTTGTGGGATTTCTGATGTAAAAGGAAGTTTGATTTGTGGCGAAATGTTTTCTCACATTTGTTACACTTGTAAGGTTTCTCTCCTGTGTGTATTTTCTGATGTTCAGTGAGAGTCCACAGGCGACGGTAGGTTTTCCCACATTGATTACATTCATATGGTTTCTCTCCTGTGTGAATTCTTCTATGGACTCTGAAGGCTGACTTATGGCAGAAGGATTTTCCACATTCATTACATTCATATGGTTTCTCCCCAGTGTGAGTTCGCTGATGTTCAACAAAGGAGAACTTCTGACAGAAAGTTTTCCCACATTCATTACACTCATAGGGTCTCTCTCCTGTGTGTGTTCTCTGATGGTGAGTGAGGGCTGACTTCCTGCAGTAGGTTCTCCCACACTCATTGCATTCATATGGTCTCTCCCATATAGTTCTCTGATGTACAATGAGGTGTGAGTTTTTGCTGATGGTATGCCCATGTTCACTACACTCATAAAGATTCTCCTTTGTGTTCATTCTCTTACACTGACTGCAGTTTGACTTCATGATGGATATTCTACCACATTTATTAAACACACCATGTTTCTCTCTTGTGTGTGTTCTCTGATGTATAGTGAGTGTTGACTTATGGCAGAAAAATTTCCCACATTCATTACATTCATAAGACTTCTTTCCTCTATGAGTTATCTGATGTGCAATGAGGGCTGATTTCGTACATAAAAATTTTCCACATTGACTGCATTCATAGGGCTTCTCTCCTGTATGACTTCTTCGATGCACATTGAGGGCTGATTGACAAAAAAAGGTTTTCTCACATTCACTACATTCATAGGGTTTTTCCCCTGTGTGAATTCTCTGATGTGCAGTAAGGGCCGACTGACAGAAGAAGGTTTTCCCACATTCCTTACATTCATTTGGCTTCTCTCCTCTGTGAGTTCTTTGATGTACAACAAGATACGATTTCTTACTGAAGGCGTTTCCACATTCCTTGCATTCATAAGGCTTCTCCCCTGTGTGTGACCTGAAATGTTCAGCCAGGGCTGACTTCCGAAAAAACGTCTTTCCACATTCATTACACTCATAGGATTTCTCCCCTCCATGAATTTTCTGGTGTACAATGAGGGCAGATTTGTCAATGAAGGTTTTCCCGCATTCACTGCACTCATAGGGTCTCTCTCCAGTATGAATTCTTTGGTGTCGAGTGAGGCTTGTCTTCACACGAAAAGTCTTCCTACAATCATTACAAACATACGGTTTCTCCCCTGTATGAATTCTCTGATGTACAATGAGGGTAGATCTCTTAGAAAAGGTTTTCCTACATTCACTACATTCATTTGGTTTCCTTTCAGTCTGTCTCCCTTTCTGGGTAACGAGAATTGCCCTCTTGAAGAAGGTTTTCCCACATTTATTATAGTCAAAAGGTTGTTTCAAAATCTGTACGTTCTGGTGAAGAATAAGACTTTCATTTTGATTGCTGGCTTTCCTCATTGGATTATATCTGTAATTTTTCATTCCCAAATGACTTTTTTCATGCTTAGTATGAAGCAGTGGCTTCCCAAATCCACTGTATTCATCAGGAATCTTTCTGTTTTCTTTGCTTTCCTTTGCAACAATTACTTCTGAATTAGTTTTCAAACTGTTTCCTCCTGGATTACATTTATAGGGCATTTTTCTTGAGGGAACACTATTCATGCCCAGATTAAGTGTTTTCCCAAATACATTCTCTCTTTCTGTAATCAGTGTTTTGTTGCCGAAGAATACAGTTTGTGTCAAATGTTTATCCTGGATTTCCTTGTTCTTCTCTAAGGCATCATCAACTTCTAGAAAAAGGAACACAACAGTAATTGGTGAGTATATATTTGCTATGAAACGAGAATTCCTTAGAAATGCACTGTTTTGGGGGTTAGACTTCAGGCCCAGTCTTCCAAGATTAAACAAATTTCAAGTGCAAATATCTCTTACTTGGTTGATTTGAAGAAAAACAAAAACAAAAAATACTAAAAAGCAAATCCATCCATACCAGCCACTATTTAACAGGGGTAAAGGAAGAGGAAACTAGCAAAGAATACAAGTACCTTTGACACTTTACAAATACCACTAAACATTGAGTGGAAAAAGTAAGCAGTCATAAGGAATAGTACACAAAGTATGCTGGAAGTGTGGCTGATGGAGTATTGAATAAAACAGACAAGAGTCAAGTAAGCACTTATGAGAAAGAGAGTCATACAGTGAGACCAGGTAAAACAGACGTCAGAAAGATGGTCAGTTATTATCAAAACACAAGAAGGAAGGGGTGAATCTGAAATTTTTGCAGTGACATGGAACTCTCAAATTTGTACAATGCAAAGGGAAGTAAGATTGCAGGCTGAGCAGAGCTGGGACTAGAGGAAGGCAAGCAGGATACCCAGGGCGCCTGCACAATCCTGAGAGTTGAGTGTCTTCCTAAATTTTGCATGCCAGGCACCCTGTTTGCCTCACCCTACTCTGGATCCTGGTGAAGCTTAGAATGGAAAGGGAAACCGTGTTACTTCTGTTAAGTGATGTAGAGAAAAATGGAAGACAATTAAAAAGATTATGACAGATCTCTGAATGTCTGAAATATAAACCATGCCTATGACAATGGTGGGTGGGGCAAGGGAGGCAACAGAGAATGCTACAGAAATAAAGTTTAAGGTGTGATAAAAGAGGAACCTGAATTCTGGGGATAGGTAACTTAGTGGCAAAAATCTTTATAAATTTCAGTTATTTATTTGGGGAGAATGTTTCAGATATCCATAGCATGACAGTTAATCAACCTCAATCACTTCTAAAGGTCTGGGGCCAACAAAAAGAAATTCATGAAAAACATTACCATGCCAACTATTACCACTGACCACCACAGAACTCTCATTTCCATTGGTTCCACCTGCTCAGTTATCATTTACTTACTTGGGTAGTTCTGATTTGAGAATTCCTCCACTATCCATGGTTCTTCTCCTTGCTCCAATTTGAAAATCACATCCGGTTTGCTAACATGATACCCTGTTAATGGGAAATTACAGAACTTGGACCAAGATCTTTGGATATCAGGGACTCTGAAGAATGCAGAAAGTACAGCTTCAGAAGCTGTGCAATGAAGATGCCCAGCAATAGCTCAGTAAAGCTAGAACATTTTGGTGAAGGGTAGGGGAAAGGCAGTGAATACATACACAAACTTTACTGTCTAAAAGGGTTTAATCATCTTGCTCCCCTGATGCTCAAAGCTAAATAATTAAATTCTAGATATCAACACTTTTCGTAACACAGAAAAAATGTATGCTCTTGGGAGTTGTACAAGGAAACCGTCCTTACCCACGGAGACCAAGTTGCTGTAGTTCTCCAGCATCACATCCCTGTACAGGAGCCTCTGAGCAGGGTCCAGTTGCTGCCATTCCTCCTGGGTGAAGTTCACAGTCAGGTCCTGAAATGAAACTGATCTCTGAAAGAAAATGTTTAACCTGGGGTGACCAAAACTGAGTGATATCAAATGTATGGTAACATAAACTATAAGCAGACCACTGCCATGGCTAATGGAAAACTATAAAGAGATATAATTGTGGGAGGGCAGAAAATTAAAAATATGTCACTGTGTTCATTTTTAAAATGAATTTTAAAAATGTACTGAGCTTATACCATGTCCTGGAGCTATTCCAATTGCCTGGATTACTAATCACATAAAATACTAATCTTGCTCTCAAGGAGCATACATTCTGACAGGGTGACAAAAATAGAAATGTACATCTTTAAAGAGCAATGCTGGACATACACACAAGATGAAGGGTGATCACAAAAGAAGAAAGCTTGCTCCATTTTTGTTATCCCTTCTTTGAGGGCATAATAATTTTAGTACTGAAATATAAACAGTATGCTTTATTATAGGACTGTAGCCATTAAGAAAATAGACAGACACCAAACACACATGGGGAGTTCGAGAACTACAATCTCCCCACAGGAAAGACTAGTGAGGAGTGGGACAGAGGCCAGAGAATAGAGGAACTCTTTTTTCTAATTAGTAGTCTTGAAATTCAGATAGTACAACACATCAGCAAAACATTCTTGCATATACGCTAACATACATTTACTTAGGAATTGTAGTACATTTCCAAGTTAGTTCCAGCTATACATTAATATCAACAAAGCTTCATTATTTTTTCATTCTTTTGGCTGAAATACTAACAAGAATAGAAGTACAGTGAATTGCTGGGGTGTTCCTTATCCTCCACTTTGGAGACCACTGTTGTAAATAATGGAAATCCATAAAGAGGTATTTGTAAGCAAGGACTGGAGATTTGTGACCAAATGTGTGTTTTGAAACAATGCTCTAGAGCACAAGGGTTGGCAAACTACAGTCCGTGGGCAAAATCTAGGCCACCGGGAGCCAAATGTTGTCATGCTCATTTGTTACACACAGTCTGTGACGGCTTTCATGTCACAACAGCTGTGCTGAGGAAATCTGACAGAGACCACAGGGCCAGCAAAGCCAAAAATTTTGACCTTGTACTCTAAAGAAAACATTTGCTGTCCCCTACTCTAGAAAAATGGAAACTGGCTTAAAGGTCAAATTAGAGGGGAAGAAAACTAAGACACCACTACAGGACATGAGCACAGGTAGTTCCTGGGAAATGGGAAGGAGAAAATCAGTCCTACATAACGGGAGGCAAGGAGAGTTGACCACTACTTGATGCGCAGATGTAATCTGCAGATTATTTCACATGATCAGCTGGGCTGATGCTAGTAGTATATGTGGAGATTAGGAAAACAAAACAGAAAAGAGAATTGAGCACAGGAAACGAAGGCACTGATGTTCACCATGCTGTGCTTGAAGTATCTACTGAGTAAAGAAGTAGAGATGTCTAGCTGGTAGTTGGATACATCGTTCTGGAGCTCAGAGGAGAGATACCACAGTGATCAGAAGCAATATTTGAAAGCATAAATAATGAGGAAGGTCTCCATGAACTGATATGAAGTGAAAAAAGTAAAGTATTAAAGAATATCTATAATATTCTACCTTTTATGTAAGAAAGGAGATGTAAGAAAACACACATGGCCAGGTGTGGTGGCTCACACCTATAATTCCAGCACTCTTGAGAGGTTGAGGTAGGCAGATCACTGGAGCTCAGAAGTTCAAGATCAGTCTGGGCAACATGGCAAAACCCCATCTCTACAAAAAATAGAAAAAAAATTAGCCGGGCATGGTGGCATGTGCTACTCGGGTGGCTGAGGCAAGAGGATCACTTGAGTCTGGGAGGCAGAGGTTGCAGTGAGCTGAGATTATGCCACTGCACTCCATCAACTTGGGTTGACAGTGCAAGACCTCATCTCAAAAAAAACAAAAAAAAACCCACCACATATAACCACTACGTGTGCAAAGAAAATTATGGAAAGGATACACCAGAAACTCATGAAACTGGTTACATTCAGGAGAGAGGTGGAGACAGATGGAAAGAATGGATGGATGGGAACAGAGTAGAAGAGATCAGAAGGAGTGACACTTCTCTAAAATATCTTTCTATATGGTTTTGATTCTTAGAAATATGGTAGGCCAGGTGTGGTGCCTCACGCCTGTAATCACAGCACTTTGGGAGGCTGAGGTGGGAGGATCACTTGAACTCAGGAGTTCAAGACCAGCTCAGGCCACATAGTGAGACCTCATGTCTCAATTTTTTTTTTTTTTTTTTGCCAGGAGTGGTGGTGCATGCCTGTAGTCCCAGCTACTTGGGAGGCTAAGACAGGAGGATTGCTTGAGCTGAGGAGATCAAGGCTTTAGTGAGCTATGACTGCACTACTGCACTCCAGCTTGGGTGACAGAGCAAAACCTAGTTTCAAAAATTATGCAAGTTAAATAAGTTTAAGTACATAAAAAGGAAAGAAAGAAAAGAAAGAGGAAAGGAAAAGAAAGGAGAAATTAAAGGAGGGAAGAAAGAAAAGGAAAAGAAAACAAAGGAAAAGGAAAACAACGGAAAGGGAAGGGGAAGGGGAAAGGAAAGAAAGGCTAGGATGAACCCTGCAAAATAACTAGCCAGCAAAGTGTCAAGGTTGTAAGTGACAAAGAAGGACCATCGTGGGTTGCAAGAGGCTAAGGAGACAGGACATTTAATGCAACTTGGGTTCCTAGCTTGGATCCTTGAACTGAAAAAGGATATTCATGGAAAATAATTAGCAGAATTTGAGTAAGATAGATAATAGTACTGTATTCATGTGAATTTCCCAGTTCTGATCACTATAATATAGTTTTGAAAGATCAGGGGAAGCGAGGTGAAGGAAACACAGGTATTTTGTGTATGATTTTTCTCATTCTTCATATTTAAAAATAAAGCAGTAAAAAATAGGCATGCTGCCTCCACCTTCGCAGACACCTGGGCTTCGGCCTGCTGTTTCACCTCACCCACATGACCATCCTGTGTCACCCCAGTCTTTCTTTTCTTTGATCTGCTACACATCTTTCTACTGACACGCTTTATTATGTAATTCAATGAGGCCTTTCCCGCTATCACCACTTAACTGTCTCTTATACATAAACTAGAAGTAGTTACATTATCCATTTTATTTCCTCCATGAATTACTTCCTCTAAAGGACCTATAAGCTTCTTTATTTATTTAATTTAATTTTATTTTATTTTTTAGATGGAGTCTCGCTCTGCCTCCCAGAGCCTGGAGTGGAGTGGCGCAATCTCAGCTCACTGCAAGCTCCACCTCCCAGGTTCACGCCATTCTCCTGCCTCAGCCTCCCCAGCAGCTGGGACTACAGGTGCCTGCCACCACGCCTAGCTAATTTTTTTGTATTTTTAGAAGAGATGGGGTTTCACCATGTTAGCCAGGATGGTCTCGATCTCCTGACCTCGTGATCCGCCCGCCTTGGCTGGGGGTTACAGGCGTGAGCCACCGCACCCGGCCTAAAGGACCTATAAGCTTCTTGAAGATAAAGAGTATGTTATAATTATAGGCACAACAATAGACATATAAGGTCTTAATGACTAGAAAGAATGGCAAAAATACTAGAAACAAAACACCAGGGGAAAGAGTGCCAAGGAAGAGCCCTCACTAAAAAGTTCTGTACTTGCTAAGGCAGACCCAGTGCACTTCACAGCAGAAAGTCCAAAAACAGTGAATGTGTTCACTTTGTGAGAAACTGAAAGGTGCTTGTGACAAAGAAAAAGAAACTTGATTCTCCCGGTGACTCAGGTCCACTCTGTAAGCAACACTGTAAGTAGAACGATGATCCATTCAGAGCAGAGGAGAGTTCACTGTTTCACACAAAACAAGATTACCCACAAAAAAGAAATGATGAGCACTACTATGAGCAGGCATACGGCTACTGAGGAGATATGCCTACACCTTTAAAGGCCAATAGTCTTACTCGTGAGGTAGACAGATAATGACCAGACCCTATATGTAATGCAGAGATGAAGACGGCCAGCACTGCTCTGTAAACACACAGTCTGTGGACACAGAATATGGGGACAGGAATGAGTCCTATGATGAGATGGCTCCTGGCTATGGTCCCAATGTAGACAGAAAAGGGGTAGAAAGTCAAGGAGCAAACAGTGGAAACACGATTAAAAGCAAGAAGTGTAAAATTTGGGGCATGTTCAGGAGACTAAATGCAGACCACCATCATTCTTCAGAGGGGCTCAGTGTGGGTGGTCCCTCCCACCGGGGCCATGAAGCACATCTGTGGGCACATTTTTGGCACATTTTCTGTGGGATGCTGCTGGCATTTGGTGGAGGGAGAGGGAAGGAGGTATGGTAGAGACACTGCAACATGCAGTACCTTCTCCTACAGGACAGAAATGCCTCAAGTCCTGTATAACTTTCTAATCTTAAATATTCATATAAGCGAAAAATCTGTTTATAATTATCTGAGCCTAGAACCTTATTCCATTTGGCACTTGAACACATAGTATTTATATTTTTATATATATATATATATATATGTATATATATATTTTATGTATATTAAATTTTCTTCAATGTAATAGTGGGTATATCAAGGACAATTTGTATTTGATTTGAACTGGAACTTTAGGGATTTTCACTCTTGAAAAATATCACAAATGGCAATGTTATGTACAGTATTCGAATCACAACACATCGCTCCTGCATCAGTGAGAACCTGTAACTACATTCATAGAGATTTAACCTGAAAGGAGTCTGTATAAACATCAGACTCCTCTTTTGACTTTTACTATAGTTATATCTGGGCAAGTCTGTATTAAGGTACATATCATTTTTAATTACTTTATGTTTTTATTTTTCCTCTATATTCGAGTTCTATCGATTTTTAAAAAATTACACAAGTAGGTTAAATTATCTATGATCTCCAAAACAGCATAAAGGGAGGATGGCGTTTAGTTGGGATTTCTAGAAAACAGAGCCTAAGGCAAGGACTCAGTCTGTATCATTTTATCTGGGAACTCCAAGCCAGGGCAGTGGGGGTGAGGGAAGGAAGGAAGGGAGGAAAGAAAGGATGTAAACAATGAGATACGAGAGACATTAGCATGCTGCCCACCACCTCACTACAAGCCCCAAAGAGGGGCAAGTTTCCTCAGCAGGAGCATGGGGTCAGCACATGGGACACCTCTGGGAGAACCACCAGGAGAAACTAATCTTGAAATAGTGCACAGAAGAGAGAAGGGATGGTGAATTCATCTGCCCACCTCCTTCTCATTTTCCATTTCCCTTCATTCAAGGTTCACCCAGTGAGTTAACCTGCCCACACTTCCAGGTTGCATCATCTGGCTCCACCATCTGGCCCCTCAGGAAGCTGGTACCACACCTTATGGTGTGTGGTTTCATCCAAGTCTAAAAGAGGAGGCAGCCTGGTGTGGGTGGGTGGCATTAACTAAGAGAGATAAAGGAGAGGGCTGAATATGGAAGGTTTGCATCCCAATATAGCTCATAAGAAAGTATGTTCTGTAAATAGATATGGGTCTGGCAGAGTTGAGAACCACCTCAGCACAGTTTGAACTGTTGGTGTAATATCTTTCTCTTTCACTAGCATGTGAGCTCCATGAGGACAGAGACAGTATCTCCTTCATTCAAGTTGAATGTAGACCATCTAGCATAGCGTATGACACACAATTGTTGGATCAATATACAGTTGTTGAGTGAAAGGTCCAGAGTGGTAGGAATTAAGAAGAGGCAGGAAACGGTCATGACATAAATAGCCTTACACGTCATACCAAGGATGCTGAACTTGTATTATGTAAGTGGTGTGGAACCTCTTAAGTCATTTCTGTATTAAGACATGATCACGTTGGCATTTTGGAGGAACTGGTCAGTGTGAACAACAGCCTTGAGGTGGGAAGAGGAAGGGGCCAGGCAGACTGCTGAGAAAGCTACTAATATTATGACAACCCACGAGAAACTGAGGCAGGAGAAGGAAGTGAAAGGACAAATTCAAGAAATGTCATTAGCAAGCTCGACAAACAGGTATGGTAGGAGGTGAGGAAAAGGAGAATTAAGATGGACTTCAGGCTGGGCGCAATGGCTCACGCCTGTAATCCCAGCACTTTGGGAGGCTGAGGCGGGCAGATCACAAGGTCAGGAGATCAAGACCATCCTAGCTAACACGGTGAAACCCCGTCTCTACTAAAAATACAAAAAAATTAGCCGGGTGTTGTGGTGGGCGCCTATAGTGCCAGCAACTCAGGAGGCTGAAGCAGGAGAATGGTGTGAACCCAGGAGGCAGAGTTTGCAGTGAGCCGAGATCGCACCACTGCACTCCAGCCTGGGCAATAGAGCGAGACCCCCGTCTCAAAAAAAAAAAAAAATAGACTTCATTTTCTGGCTTGATGGAAGCAGCATTGATAGGGAATCAAGAAGCAGCAGTACATTGAGCAAGTTGTAAATATTATCTCCATGTTGGATACGAGGACTCCATGTGCCTTCTGGACATCCTTGTAGAGATGTTCAGCAAGAATCTCAAGCTGAGGTTCTCAGAGGCAGAAATATTTCAGAGCATAAAGACTCACAAGTTAAAAACCATAAAGGGCAAGAAAAAAATAAATCAGAAAGAATAATGGGCTAACAATGGAATAGCAATGTTCATGAAACAAAAGAGAAGATTATATAAAATATATAAAAAAGACATGATTACAGGCTGGGCATGGCAGCTCACACCTGTAATCACAGCACTTTGGGAGGCCAAGGTGGGAGGATCACTTGAAACCAGGAGTTCGAGACCAGCCCAGGCAACATAGTGAGACCTCATCTCAATAAAAAAAAAAAAAAAAAAAAAAAGACGTGATTGTAGAGCTACAAAGAGAATCAAGTGAGGGATACCACAGACATTATCAGAGGTGCGTATTAGGGAGGGGGCAGTCATACTGTCAAATGCAACGAAGAGTTTGGTAAAGTATGAACTGAAAAATACTCATTGGGTTTGAAAACACTTAGGTTACTGGTAACTTTTTCCAGAACAGATCCATCAGAGTGGTGGGGGCAGACATAAGACTGTATCAAGTGGGTTGAAATGAGACAGGCAAGTGAAGAAGTTTTACCTACAGAATATTGAATTGTTCCCTCTAGAACTTGTTTTATAAGTACAGCTGCAATAAAGTTATAGGGCATTATTTGAAGAATATTATTCTATTTGTTACAGGTTTTATCCATTTATTCTAGGTCTTATCACTGGATCATAGACGTCACAGAGAACCATCTGAATGCTGCCTGTTCGGATGACACTGGATTGGTTCCCTGTAATTACTGTGCTCTGCCTGGGTATAGAAGTCACAGGAAACCCATAGCATTTCTTTCCCAGCTTTTTTTGGCAGAGCTGCCTCTACTTCACTTACTCAAAGATCATCCAAGAAAATTTTTAGATAATTGATGGGAAAGCCACACAAAAATCCAGTGTAAGGGCTATCTCAATTGGTCTGGGCCTTTCTGGAACCATTTGAGTAAGTCTATAGGAATATATGATTTCTGTATATCTATGTCCACTTTTCTAGTACTGATCGAATACTCTGATGCTGAATTTTATACATTTCAGTTTCATCTGCAAACTACTCTAAACCTCTTGAAGTTCACTGTATAATGTGAGAAGTAAATCCCTGAGCAACTTACCTGAAATTTGTTCATTTTCAGGTTCTCTTGAGAAAGGGCCAAGAGTGTTGAAAGCAGAGCTGGGTAAGGAAGAATGGGGAATGGAATGAGCAATCTGGCTCACACAGCAGCTCTACAGTTACCTACAAAGACAGCCACACACCCATTTAAAAACACGATCCTTTGACCAGTCTGGTTCAGGAAGCAACAGCTTGAGGAAACGTTCACTTGTCCATTTATAGTTCTAGAATAGTCACATAGAGCTTTTCTTACTGTCAACAAATGTTTTCTACTGAATTACTGGGAATTTATGCCTCCTTTGAAAAAAACTGAAAACCTCTGAGTCCAATTAATAGAAGACTAGGTAAACCAAAGTTAGTATATACAAAGCCTGGAACACTACTTTGGTATTAAAGTGGATTCTAGGATTAAAAGATTTCTTGGAATAGGAAAATGATATTTTGTCACCTACCTACTTTCCTACTAATGTGTTTAGCCACTTGAGATGAGAGAATCCAGAGAGAATGAATGAAAGTGTTTAAGGTGTTTGTCTTTTTGACAGTTTGGTCTCCCTTAGCTGCAGTTTCACAAGAGGACCTTTTACTAAGAAACTTCTTGTGGCAGGTAACTTAAATGTGGTAGATGACAAAGCCCTGACGGTTACTCAAAGGACCAGAATTCAGTTATTGGCTCTGTCGCTAGCAAACTGCATTACTGAATAAAATCTTTACGAAGTCATAATTTTAAAATAAGATAAATTGGTTTTTAGTCTTTCCTTTACCCCATTGTGTAGCTCTGTGAGGGGTAAACTCAGTAAATCCCACGTGAGGTGATGAACATGGTTGGTGCAGCTCAGAATAAACAGAGGATGGAGATGGTAGGGAATGACATGTATGTGTTTAGGAAGTGATGAAGAGATAATTTCCTTATTTATAACTAGTACGCCTTCCTTCCAACCCAGGACTCTCGCAGATACCTCCAGTGAAGTGTCTTTTCCTGTCAAATCTGGACCCTGCCCATTCCAGCTCACATCCTTCTTCCGAAACGTGATATGAACTTTGCTGAGCTATAGTAATCAATGGTTGCAGGACTAAGCGCATCAGCAGAAGTTCTGGAAAGAGGCTCTGGCTACTTGGATGCGCAAACCTTTCACTTTCACTCTGGCTACTTGGATGCGCAAACCTTTCACTTCTTCAGGCAAATCAGGGCCCTAGAGAGAGCCCGCCCCGTGGCCTGCAGGTCAGGAGCCCAATCCTGTCCTAGCTGCCTCGCCTCGCCTCCCGACAACAGGAAACCCTCCCTCCAAAGACAGGGAGAGCGCGCGTCCACCCTCCGCTGACCCGAGGACAGCTCCGCCCGGCCCCACCGTTCCCTCCGACGCCCGAGTGCTCGGAGCTCGCCGCCAGCCCTTCCTATAGGTTGTGGGTGCACCCGCTTCGCCTGCAGTTCGCACCAGGTCCAAGTCACGGCGGGACCAGGCATTCACGGGCTGAAAGACCCTCACCCGGAAGAGTCTGTCGAACCGGAAGCGCGTCCGGGTGAAAAACAGGAACGGCACATGCGCAGAAAGGCCCCCGGGCCGCCTTTCCCGGGGCTGTCCCGAGGCGCGCGCCGGCTTCCCGGACCACAGTCCCCAGAAGGCGTCGCGGCCGCCGCCCTACCCTGAGGGATCTTTGAAGAGCTTATGCTTTAACTACAGAACTTGGGTGACTGCTGTGAATCACCAATACGTAAAGTAAAGTTTCATATCCGTTTCACCGAAGGCTGTAGATGAGAAAGGAAAATTCTGCGAAATGAAAATGACTGCGAAAGATATTCCAGCGGAATGTTAAGGGAATAATACTAACGACCTGCAGAAAATTTCTCGCCAACAGTATACAAAATCGTTGCTGGCTTTCAATACGTGAAAGTTGAAGATAAATCAGAATATCTCTGAAGAAAATGATCTATTAGCTGTAACCCCAATTCCCAGAGATACCCGAGTTTAACATTAGGTGCACATTCTTCTGACAGTTTTACAAAGACGAACTCATATGGGTCTAATAATAATAATATGGGTCTAATATTTTTTAAATTAGCAATATAGTCAATATACTTTAATATCACAAATCATCTCATATTCATTGTAATATAGAAAATAGTTTTACATCCACAAGGAAAATACATACAATCATGCATGGTTTAACGATGGGGATACGCTCTGAGAAATGTGTCTTTAGGCAATCTCATCTTTGTGTGAACATCATGGAGGGTTCTTACACAAATCTAGACGATATAGTCTACTACACACCTAGGCTGTATGGTATAGCGTATTTCTTCTAGGCTGCAGACCTGTGTGGCATGTTACTGTCCTGAATACCCTATGCAATGGTAACACAATGGTATTTGTGTGTGTAAACATACCTAAACATAGGAAAGGTACAGTAAACGTACAGTATTATAAACTTGTGAGACCACAGTTGTATATGCAGTACATCATTGACTGGAACATTCTTATGTTATGCATGACTGTATATGAATTGTATACACATTGAATAAATAGAACTTTATAAAACTTTACTCATTGGAAGGCATGAAAATTTCTGACAAAGTTATGATGTATTCAATTTCAGAAAAGAACAGTTAGCGACTGGTGGTAGCTGGTCTTCAAAGATGGCCCCCAATGAACTAAACTTCCCAGTATTCCAGGCTTGTATATTTCCCTCCCACACTGATTTAGGCTGACTCTGTGATTCTCTTTAACCAAAAGAATGCGTCAGAAGTGACACTGTGCCACTTCCAGAAAATAAGCCATACAACGTCCTGGAAGCTTCAGCTTTGCCCTTTGAAGAGTCCTTAGACACTAAGACATGCAGCTAACCTGTTAGACCAAATGGAGAAACCAAGAAAAGTAGGAAGTGAGAGGCCCTGAGACCACATGGAAAAGGAGACGCTCATCTTTCCTAAGAATGCAGCTATCCCAGCCTTCCAGTCATCCTTGCCTAGAGACATAAGACATATGAGTGAACATTCCAGGCCAGTGAAGTTCCTAGATGATTTCAGCTCCAGATGAAATCATGTAGCTGATCCCAGTAAACATACAGACTACAAGAAATAATAAATTTTGTTGTTTTTAGCTTCTAAATTTTGGGTGGTTATGCAGCAATAGCTAGCTAAACATCAACAAAAGATGATTTCGAAGAATATGATATGAAAAACTGCCATTTCAAATCAGTGAGAAAGGCTTATTGTTAAATAGATTATTGAAAAAGTGATGTGGGACAACTCACTAACCATTTGGAGTAAAAAACTAAGATTAAATTCCCATCTCACACATTATAATCAATATATTTCACATTGACATATAATTTGAAATGTTAAACGCAAACTCTCGGAGTAAGTGATTTTTTGCATTACTTGCTAGGAAAGCTCTTTTACTGAAATTTTATCAAAGCAAAGTTTCCTAGTAATCAAGAAAATGGAATATATTTCTATTCATTCAAGTTTAGATAGTCTCAAATGTTTTGCTACTTTTGTAATTCGGAACATTTTTCTATCTTATTTTCATTGCCATGTAAAAATGACACTGTAGAGAAAATTATTGATCAATGTGGCTATGAAAAATTGAAAAAGTCTTGCTTCAGAAAAAAATAGATTTAAAAAGAAATAAATGGAGAAAATAAAGTGGTTTCACCACATATGAGAAGGATTGAAATAGACTCAATTTATTAACATCTCTTTTAGAAATCTGTAAAGATGAGGATTCAAATTTTTTTAAAAAATGAAAAAAGAACACGAACAAGGCAATTAATACAGAAGAATTGTAAAAAAGCCATAACTATGTATATGAGGTAATGGCCAATAATACTCTAGAGCAAAGAAGTGCAAAAAGTTTTTGATTACGTACTTTTTTGGCAGACTAATTTGGCAAAGATTAAATGGAATAATAAAGTATTGGCATGAATTTGGAAAAAAATACTTGTTCCCAGACAGGTTGGGTGGGAGTTTAATTCCTATGACATTTCTAGTAGACATTCTGTACCCAAACTGAAGATTTCACACCCTTTATTCCAGCAACTCAGCTTCTAGGAACATCTTAATGAAATAATTAAATCAGTACAAAAATATGCATATCAAGAAAGTTCCTTATAATGGTTTTAATCATAATCTTTTCTTTTTTTTTTTTTTTTTTCCGTAGACGGAATCTCGCTGTGACGCCCAGGCTGGAGTGCAATGGTGCGATCTCGGCTCACTGTGACTTCCACCTCCTGGGTTCACGTGATTCTCCTGTCTCAGCCTTCTGAAAAGCTGGGGTTACAGGTGTTTACCACCATGCCCGGCTAATTTTTGTATTTTTAGTAGAGATGGGATTTCACCATATTGGGAACTCCTGACCTCAAGTTACCCACCCACCTCAGCATCTTAAAGTGCTGGGATTACAGGCGTGAGCCACTATGCCCAAGCCAATCATAATAATTTTTTAAAAGGTAGAGGGAAGTAACCAAATGTCCACCAGCAATGTGAAGGTGAAGGTAGAATATAAGTATGTAGGGTCCAGCCCCACAGGGTTGATGGGTTTTTCACCCCGTGCGCGGAGACGAGAGATTGTTGAAATAAAGACGCAAGACAGAGATAAAAGAAAAGACAGCTGGGCCCGGGGGACCACTACCACCAAGACGTGGAGACCGGTAGTGGCCCTGAATGCCAGGCTGCACTGATATTTATTGGATACAAGACAAATGAGCAGGGTAAGGAGTGTGAGCCATCTCCAATGATAGGTAAGATCACGTGGGTCACGTGTCCACTGGACAGGTGGCCCTTCCCTGCCTGGCAGCTGAGGCAGAGAGAAAGAGAGGAGAGAGAGAGAGACAGCTTACGCCATTATTTCTGCATATCAGAGACTTTTAGTACTTTCACTAATTTGCTACTGCTATCTAAAAGGCAGAGCCAGGTGTACAGGATGGAACATGAAGGCAGACTAGGAGTGTGACCACTGAAGCACAGCATCACAGGGAGACGGTTAGGCCTCCGAATAAATGCGGGTGGGCCTGACTGATGTCAGGCCTTCTGCAAGAAGTGGAGGAGTGGAGTCTTCTCTAAACTCCCCCCAGGCAGAGGGAGACTCCCTTTCCCGGTCTGCTAAGTAGCGGGTGTTTTTCCTTGACCCTGAGGCTGCCTGCCGCTAGACCATGGTCTGCTTGGAAACGGCATCTTCCCAGACGCTGGCGTTACCGCTAGACCAAGGAGCCCTCTGGTGGCCCTGCCTGGGCATAACAGAGGGCTCGCACCCTTGTCTTCTGGTCACTTCTCACTATGTCCCCTCAGCTCCTATCTCTGTATGGCCTGGTTTTTCCTAGGTTATAATTGTAGAGCAAGGATTATTATAATATTGGAATAAAGAGTAATTGCTACAACCTAATGATTAATGATATTCATATATAATCATATCTATTATCTATATCTAGTATAACTATTCTTATTTGATATATTTTATTATACTGGAACAGCTCGTGCCCTTGATCTCTTGCCTCGGCACCTGGGTGGCTTGCCACCCACATAAGTAGCCATTTTTAATTTACTTGATGTAATATTTGAATTACAAATATCATTTTCGTGTTTTTTCAAATATAACTACTTGTCTTAATGTGATTTATTGAAAACATCATTTTTTGCCCACTGCTTTGCAATGTCATCTAAATTCTTACATACCTCTTGTCTATACATGTTCCTGCAAGGAACCAGCATTTAACTATTTTACAAATTAAAGAAATTTCATACATATTAACATTAATCTGCTTTTTCTAAGATTTTCTGGATGTATTTTAAATACTCTGTGAAGGGAAACAAAAAAAAGAAGGAGAGCACCAAAATTTGCCGCTATTTTAACAGAAATGTTATTAAAGAAACAAAATTTTCAATTCTTCAAGAAAATGAGATATATTTCTATTCGAGTTTAAATATTTTCAAATGTTATGCTGCTGTTGTAAGAGGGAACGTTTTTCTATCTTACTTTCATTGCCATATAAAAAGCAATTGAGGCTCTAAAACAGTGTTGCTAAAAATCACTATATGTTTATTAAAAGCAGAATTCTAAACATGTACCTTCATGATCCTAACATTGTAAAATTATCAAAAAGCTGTGAATCTACCATGAGGCATAGTCATTTCTGGAAGGAAGATAACAAGTGATATCTGTTCTGCTTTTGATCTATAGTTTCAGATTTATTTACAATGTTCGTTTATTAGTTATATATTGTTGTGTAACAAATTGCCCCCAAAATTGGTGGCTTAAAACAACATTATTTATGATCTCACATTTTCTCGTGGTAAGGAATCTGGGCACTGTTTAGATGGTTCTCTGCTTTGGCATCTCTCTCCGCAATCAAGATGTCAGGTGTGGCTACACTCATTTCAAGGCCAACTCAGAAATATCAGCTTCCATGCACACTTTCATGGTTGTCGGCAGGATTCAGCTCCTTGCCACCTGAGTCTCTCCAGAGGGCAGCTCACAACATGGCAGCTTGTTTCATTAGAACAAATGAGAGAGAGAGAGAGACAGAGAGAGACAGAGAGAGAGAGAGAGAGAGAGAGAGAGAGAGAGAGAAA